CTGGTCTCACTGGACACAACAAGCTTAGACCCATGCCATAACCTAGGAATGTGCTTAGCTATACTGCTGAGCTGTGACCTCTTGGATTTACATTGGGTCAAACCCCATGCTTGCAGCAGGGGAGACCAGAGATACAGGATGAACCAAGATCCAACCTCCCAGCTGCGCTGGGTGTATATTATCATTTCACACTCTAACATCTCGTAACTGTATGGTGTCATTCAAGACCTGCGTGCATGCATCGAACAAGCTCACTTCAGGGAGACCCACATGTGCAAAACAAGCAGTGGATTTTCTTAAGCACTGTTTTTAAATAGAACAGAAGCTCCTAGCTCCAGAAGTTTTATTCAATCTGACTTTAAGGGATTCAAGAGGTCCAAGGTTGATACTACTTGATTATGCAGAGATTGCCCTGTGTTCAGTCCCACTTCATTGCAAAGGTCAGCACTCAGTGGACTGCACATTAGATATAGACCAAATTAGCATTACATGCAACAGTGAAGATTGCATTAAATGAGATTTAGCCCGCCAAAAAGATGACACAGGGTCAAGAAGATTTATGCATTCTTTTCATACTCACTTAGCCTCTAAGACCAACAGCTCAATGCCAGTTCAATGACATTTCATAGGCTTTTAAGTCCAAATCCAGAACTACTACATATGCCAGTAGCACCCCAGTGCAATAACCAAGACCATGTTTTCCATGCTGTGAGGGCAAAGCAGCTTCCCAAAGGTATGGCAATAAATGGCACTAGGATGGAGCTACTAAATAATTACTTTTTTTTAAATAAATAAATAAATAAATGAGCAAACACACTATAGGTCTGTCAATGGGTCCAGTCATTCAGTACCCTAAATAACCAGTTTAGGAATGGGGTTTTCTGAGTTTAATACAGCCTTCACATTATGATTTTCACAAGTTTGGGCCCTGCAGGCTTCTATGAAACAGCATAAGAACCTCCCCAATAGAATGGGAAAAAAACTCCATTCCACTCTATTTCTATTTGTTCCTGGCACAGGTTAATGTTTCTTATTTTTAAGAACCCAAGCCTTGTTTGAGATCTTTATCTAAATCAGTTGCATACCTACATGAGGCTAACGGAAACACAGCCAGAATCCATCATGCTTCTGGGACCAAAAGGCTGGGAAGAGGCATCCAGCCATCATTGCAGAGACTGGCACTTTCCCTAGTGAAGTTGTTCTCATGCTCTTCTAGCCCTACAAATAGGAATGCTGTTGCACAATGCACAAAATAAGTGTGCTTAGAGACTTTTATCTCAGAAAAAGAATAAATGCTTTGCTTTCTGATAACATCAAAAATCTACAAAATGAGAAAACTCTAGGAAAAAATACTATAAAATCCTGGAAAATAATTAATAGATTTTTCTGTGCTTTCATAATAGCATTCACTTGGGTAACCATAAAAAGTGATTATTATGGTAATAAAAAGGATGAATAATTTATTATAAGTCACAGACAAACTGTTCCCTTGCAGAATTTTAAGATGACTACATGCATATGAAAATAATCTCTTAAACATGTATGCTTGCTGTAGCCATTGGGCCAGAAAACGTCTGCCATTCTTTATAGTTTTACTGGATTTCTTTTCCAAACTTTTCCTAGGGAACTGAATTAAAATGGAAGTCTAAACCTGATCATATTGGCACTCCACTGTACCTGCAAGGCTGTTTAACCTAAGTCTTCCCATTTATTTACTACAGAGCTCAGGTTTGTTGTCTGTTGCATTTCAAAATACACAGAGAAAGCTGGGGAATTGCACACTGACCCGCTCCCAAATACCAGCATCTTCTTAACAGACAAACATTGATACCCAATATACACTTGCTCATAAGTTTTTGCCTGCAACAGCAGCATACAGAGCTGCAAGCATCTTTTTGCATGGACTGACCACCACAGTGACTGTGAACTGTGAAGAATCAGGGAATAAATCAGTTATTTGCAAGACACCACCACACCAAAATCTGAGAGGCGACTTTAGGACTTTTAATCACAAAGAGCTGAATAAGCTGTTAAAAGCTTTTACAAACCTCAGTGTTATTTGAAAATAACACAAAGTCCTTTGGCTGCTTCCCATGAAGGGGTTGCCCTGGTCCAGTTTTCCAGGCTTGTGATAGACTGACTCTATGCTCTTTCATCAATAGCAAGTTAAGTTCCAAACTGTGGTCAACTACAGTCCCAGTCTCCATCACCAACACATCAGCATCTACTAGAGCTATATTTGCTAAACAGAGACCCTTCCATCATCCGGAGCTTTGCCCTAATTCAAGCCACACTCAACACATTTATTTAACAAGAAAAACATGCCAGGTTCCCTAAATCTATTCAAACACCTCTGATTATTTATTTATGCAAAAGCAACCTCTGAGAATCAATTTCAATACATGTCCCAAACTTTTACTTGGCTCTATTCCTGCTTTCTTTAAGAGATGGTTTTTAAGAGATAGTATTTTCTTTCAGGCCATACCAAGGCCCCATGAGAGGTCTACATAAGAAATTGTCATCTTCTGTTTGGCATCAGGTAGCCTCCACTCCTTTCACCAGAGAAAATGGTCCTATCTAACTTCTCAGATCCACAACTCTGCCACATCCCAGCTCAAGCACACCAGTCCATGGTGTCTTTCACATGCAAAAAACAAACATCAGAAGAGTAGGAAAAAACTATAAACTTGAAAATAGGCTTTTCATAAGTCACTCAATATACCCATGGCCTGTGTGACAAAGGACAAAGCACAAGAGAGAAGGGAGAAGAGCACAGAGTTGCCGCTCATCAGGAGAATGCGACAAGGATCAGCAATAAGCCAAGCCCTGAGCAAGAAATGCAGTAACCCACTAGTTACCAGTTTAGGCTGCATGACCAGTTTAGTAGGATGACAAAGCCATCCTCTTGTCATATCTGCCTACAGCAACAGGATCCACAGAAGCCCTGAGTTATCATAACACCGGGATTACCAATGAGTACAGACAAGGGAAAAATAAGTGAAGCTCTTTCCAAAACAAACAGCCATAATTCAGTATCTGGGACTTCACAAATTACCTATTGAAAACAGTAGAAGCTAGATCTTAATAAAGCATAACTGCCTGGTTTAGATTTCACAGATGTTGAAAGTATTCGCAATCTGGAATTAAACTAGGCTAATCTAAACCATAAACATGAACCATCATTTGGATTATATCTGTAAACCTCTGGTTCAATTCACAGCTCATTTTTCTGGAGTTCAACGAGCGACAAATAAACCTTAAAGGAAAAGAATTTTGTTAGTGTCTGGTGTAATCTACTATTAAATAAGTCTTCACACTAATAAAATTCAATTTATTGTAGTTTGTAAAATGTGATTCCCCACCTTGATAATTAAAAAGATATTGTAATAGAAGTCTTCAGTCCTCTTGTGCTCACATTTGTTAAGATTCGATTTTTATCCAAGCAGAAGTATTATAAGAACGCAGAACTGCTGCTGTTGCAGCCTTTGCATGCAAATATAACATTAGGCAGACAGTTTTGGTGTTACTTACATAACAGGCAGGAAATTTAGAGCTCTGAGCCCTCAGCAGTCACCTGCACGCTGCTGGACCGTGACAGACCAGCACAGACCAGACCTGGCCTCCCAGCATGGGCACTAGGGCATCATTCAACTACACTGCTTCCACTTGAAGATCTCTGCACCACTTTCAACATACACAGACCCTTGGTCTGAACAGTGGACTAGTACTTCCCTTCTGCTTTGGATTCAAAGAGAGAACAAAGGCTCTAGTAGTCAGGTAACAGCCAGAAGGTGCCTTACTGGCTCTTGCAACCTGCATGGTTAGCTAATATCCAGGATCTTCTTCCCTGGTTTCCATGAGTAAGAGTCAAGCATCTTTCTGTTTAGGTGAAAAATATGTATACAAAGTAATTTTTCCTGAACTCAAGTAGGAATAGAAGGAGAATTTCCTTCAGACATTTCCAAACCTACCTTCATAACCAACACCCTGCACAAGAAGCTTCTCGTTGTCTTGGCATTATCTTGGGGCACAGCACCATTGCTCCTTTGGACTTTTCCTGGCCCATTTGCTACTTGACACATAGAGACTCATACACCTACACGCCAGTTGGGGTTCCAGCTCTGTACTCACAGCTGCTCTTTGGGACAGCTCTTCAAATTACCCCAGGTTAATTTTGATTCAGATCTTCCGAAAGGCCAGTGTTTTGAGTGGTGCTTTTCATTGTTCCAGTTATCTTGGCCAAAAAAAGCCTTGACTGTTTCTCCCACTAAGCTGGTGCTATGAGCAGAGGAGCTACTAGCCACTGATCAAAAGGTCCACTCTGGAAGCAACATTCTCATGAGCACTGACTAATGTAAGAAGCTCATGAGACGCAAAAATGGGACCAACTGCGGGGAAATGCCATCAGTTGCAACTCACAGTTCAACAGCAAAATCCTAAATGGCACATGCTGCACCTTGCACCCAGCCCTGATGAATAGGACCCTGCACTCTGGAGGCTCACAAATACTGACAATGTCCCTGACTTATGCAATTCCCCTCCCCTTCTGACTTCCCTTGGCTGAAGGCAGCATCCTGGATCTGAACACTGAATCTCAGCTGTTGGAGTAAGCGCAAAGGGAACCCAACTGCAAAATATAAATCCTTCATCATCCCTTCCTAAAAATCAGGCAAACACACCCAGTTCTAGAAAGTGCCCAAACTCAATGTTTATTTAACATGCATTCCTCCAGCTAGTGAGAGATGAAATACATCTGACGAAACAAACATTCCCATAACACGATTAATAATAATAAAAAAGAAAAAAGGACAGACTTCACTCTCTCCTACAGAATCAGAGTTTGGAAGCACCACAGAAGCAGGGTGAAGCCTCAGAAAATGTTTAAGTCTTACCCATAGATTGTTCCTAAAAACGTTCAGAAAGTAAGTACCCCCCCCTGCCAGCCCAAGTTGATGCCCACTACAGGTTCTCCTGCTCTGCCCATTGCAGCAGGACACAACCAAAGTACAGAGGTCTGTAATTCAGTTTATTTGTTCATATCTAGCCGTATAGAAAACGACCATCTCTCTAAAGCACCTAAGAGCTTTAGGCTGGATAACTTCACTCAGACAAGTTCCTGTAAAGAGAAGAGAGAAACTTGGCTAACTAAAAGAGTAGCTATGAGTAAAACACACTAAGAGATGGAGAGAGAAGAACACAAGGACCACTGCTACCATTTGGAGATTACAGTTTATTATATAGAGCCTAACCAGAATGACTGGGGTTTTGTATAGTGACAGGGCAGAACTGGAAGGAAGATCATGCACAAAGAGCAGCACAGGAGCGAGCACACAGGTTTCTCTCATCTGTAGTTTCCACAGCAAAACAGGGACTTCAACTTTACTTTGAATCAGTCCCACTGCAGTGGCAGTGAGGATAAATAAAGAGCCAACTAAACAAAAAAACCATCAGAACGAAGAAACCCACAATGTGTAATACACATATTAATGTTGAATCTTTTCTTTTGGGAACATTTTCAAATTGAGTTCTACACCTTAATCTCCAATTTCTGGCTCATGAGCACAGTTGCTGCCATCTGTGTGCGAGTCACTAGAATCATTGGTAGCTACAGCATAAAACTCAGGAAAATAGGTGAAACCGTTAGGTTTCCCCCACCACCACCACTACCAAAGAATTCAGTTCGGTGTATTGAACAATGAAGGAAAAAGTGCTCCTCCCTCTCCTACTTTGAAATATCAGTACACAAAAGCCTCTACAACCATCATGCCACATAGAACTCTAGGAGGGAAAAAGAGCAAAGCAGCAAGTGGTGGTGGATCAGCATTAATTTTGTACAGATGCTCCAAAAGCCGTATCTGGTTCAGAAAAGCGTCTCTCCCTCCAGCTCCTCTCCGCGCTGCACACGAGAGGGCACTGTGCTGTAGGCGCAGTGGATAAAGCAGCACAAATTAATCATGTGCTGCAGATGAAAATTGTTGTGCTAGAGCCAAGCAATTAGACCTTCTCTGGAGAGTTAACTGCGTAGCGAGAAGCAAACCTGCCAATTAAATCAGCATCTTCAAACACCTCAGGAGATCCTTCACTTCAGTGACCAGTGTTATAATTTGTTTGCTGCAAATCAAGCATTTATCTTAACATGATTATCAGTGTTATCACGTTTTTCAGGTATTACAAGATTGGAGCTGACTCCACACAGGACAACAGCTTTTTTTGCTGGGTATCTGTACTGGAGAAATCAGGGGTGATGGAGACTACACATGGCGTAAAGACCTGAAGACTTACAGGTCCAACCCAAGCTGGAAAAATCATTTCAGGTTTAGACAAACAGATCCAAAAACTCTGATTAAATCCAATGCTAAGTAACTGGTTAGAAATTGAAGTGACAGCTTGGTGCCTCCAACTTGTGCATTAGGCAGAAAACAGGTGCCAATATTTCAGGTGCTTTGGTGTACTACTAAGTGGACGCAGAAGAAACAGAAGGGACAGAAGCAGCCAAAAAACTTCTAGCCAAGAAAGCAAACCAGCAAGCAGGTGTAATGAACATGAGAAAGCTCACAGAGCTCTAGCTGCTCCAGACTAAATGCTGAAGTCTGTTCATTTTAGCAAAATCACTCCACATTTACCTTGCTGTGGACCACATGGGCTACATTTTGCTTTCGTCCCCAGACGACTGACACCTTTTTGTTACCTGCTGCATTTCTGATGTGTTCTCCGAGCACAAAAGCACAGCATTCATCATCACCTTCCTCCCCTCCTCCTGTAACTCACCCAAACAAAATTAACAGAAAAGGGTATTATTTAAAACACAGCCATCCACCTCCTCCCAGGACCTGGTTTTAGGCTTCTGTATTTCTCTTGCAGCATGTGTTGACAGACGCCACATTCCTGACGCTGCTGTGAATTTCTGCAGTGGGGTTAAGACAGAGGCACAGCCTTGAAACATAAGCAAGGCAGGAAATCGGTATCTGTTCATGTAATATAAAGAGAAATGTATGCACAGCTTCCCTGAAGACAATAATGTTCCTACTGAGGAACTGGGACCATTACCTCCATATCAGATTACCTGCACCCCAGACCACTTTACTTCCCTCCCATTCCAATTATAGCCTTCAAAATCTTATAGGTAAGTGGCCAAAAAACGTATCAGTCTAGTCATCGTGTCTGGTTTTCCTGTGCTTTTTCCTCTTTTTGTGCTAGAGGAACACACGAGCACCACATCACCCAAACACAGCTTGCTGGGAGTCCAGCCTTGCCGCGCTGACCACAGCACATTCCACTGACCCGTGTACCACCACAGGGACTTTGCAGCAGAATGAACGTTGCATAAAGCTTCTGGATTAGAAGCATCCTGTGAGTGCCAAGTTGAAGATCAAATGGAGGTTTTTCTTAAATTAAATAACCTGAAGATGTTCTTGGTCCAGCATTGTTGTGTATTACCAAGGGCAGTGTGCGCGCCTGGAACAGAACTCTTTTGTCCTTAGGTAGCCTATGAACTTCCTGAACTCATCCAAGCCTACGAATCACTAGTTCATCTCTACATGCCACAGTAAGGGATATTCATGTCTCCCTTGCCAATGCTCTGTATTACTATGGAGTCATTATATCATCATCTGTATTTCAGAAAGATGTTTCAAACATCTGGTTAGCTTTAAATGCACAAAACCACATGCACGCACCAGTATTTTCCACGTTAATCTGCTTCTCCCATGGTTATGAGAGAACACAAGAGCAGATGAACCTCAATGACTCCTGATTGATGATGGACATTCTGTTTACATTTCAGCTGACAACACTAAGGTATTTCCTCTCCAGCTGCAGCCAAACAACAACAGAAAAATAGAGTGAACATCACCAAAACCCCTAATCACGAGTCATGGACTCTGAGCCCGCTGTCTCCAGGCCACATGAGCTATAGAGGTAATAACATCGCAGCAGCAAATACGGAACATCCTTCATCCATATTCCAAAGGGATGCAGATGGATAACATTATTTTACCTATTGTTTAGCGGTACTTCCCTCTGATCTGGAAACCATTTAACCCAATAGAAATAATTAAGCTTCCTTACTCAGTTCCATGATAATAGAAGCAAAGCGGAATTTGACTTGAAAGGCAAGAGAGGCACATTGCAGTCTGCAAACCAAAATGATCACCTATTTTCAGGGACTCCAGGGAGCAGAGCATCACTGGGATTAGCCTCCCAACTTCACCACAGTGTGGTGCAGCACTGGATTAGGACAAGAAATCACTACAAGTCACACATCTGACCCAAAATACTTTTTCCTGGTTTTGCTACACAAAACCTGTAATACCTCCTTTCCCAAAATAAAGTATTTCTTTTGATAAGTTAATAAATGGGTTTGGTGGGTGGAGGATTTACTATCACTCTTTACGTCATCAGAACTCTCTTCTGACGGAACACTGGAAACACTACAAAGAGAATGGTACCTGCGGAGATGCCTTAGGATAAATTAGATATGAAAGGAAGGAAAACTATATTCCAAATTTCCCTTGTCTTGACAAAATCAGTTTGCCTGTGCTTCAGAGCTCCTTGAGCAATACATAAAACTGCCCTCAAGTGGAGATCTGTTCTGTAAAGGCACCTAAAAATATCTAATAACCATTTTACTTGACCAGCCTTTTATCTAAATATTTTCTCTGATGTTTAATGAAAGAAAAGTTTGGAGCTGGTGATGAGCATTAGACTCAAGCGCTCCACCTTCTCTGATGAATGTACCAGGGAGACAGGAGACAAGGTGGTCTGAGTCAACACTGCCTGCTGCAAGGCTCCAGCCAACAAGGACATCATCGTGTTTGCATCTCAATCTCTCTTTTCCATCTCAAGGAACACCAGTCCTTTCCACTAGAATACAGCAGGATTTTCAAATCTGTTTATTCACAAAGCTTTGAGTCCTGAAGGGACCATGATATCATCAGTCCTGACCTCCTGCATCACCCCAACCATTACATTTCACCCACTCACCCGGCTGTAGAAAGAACTAAAGCCCTACAATTAAAGCTTCAGCTGGGTCCTGGCAAAAGCTCCCCTCCCATGCAGGCAGGCTTGGTCTGACAGGCACCAAGAGACAGTAAATCCTCTGTGGCATTCATACTCAGAAACACGTTCTTTGTATCTAAGTTTGACTGTGTTGGGGTTTAGCTTCCAGCTAGCATTCTCACCATATCTTTTCCTTTTGTTTCCAAAATTCTCTCTCTCAAAGTGAACCCAGTGCATAAATACCAAGTTGCTTCTTTTTTTTTTTTCCTGCATAAATTAAGTAGATTAAGGGCTTTTAAATATCTTGCTTTCCTCAGCTCTCAAATAACTTTTCTAGCCCTTCTCTCCATTGACTTCTGTACATTGAAATCCTCTTGAAAAGAAGACCAAACCCATGTGGTTTGCTGGAGGAATACAAGCTCTCCTTCACACACCGCACAGCATCGCACTGGCTTTTTTGGCCAGCCTGGCACAGTGGGAGCTTATTCTGCCCTTCACAAAGGCATTTATTTCTGCAGCACAGACAGCAGTGCCACCAGCACCGCTTGCCTGCCTTATTCCCAGGTGTAGAGCTACATTTGCATCAAAGTGTGTTTTATTTACACAGGCTGAGCTTAGCAAGCCTTCCAGACCACACGGCATTACTCCTTTAGTCACCATTATGCACTTCCCAGCCAAAGTGTGAGCTGTACAAAAGCTTCATCAGCAATAATTTTATCATGACTTCAGGTTGCTGATGAGATGATGGAATAACAGAATGCCAAGCTCCATGAAGCCCAGCAAGCAACTTCTCTTATTTCATGAGGGCTACCCGATGATGGCTATATTTTTCAGATGTATCAGCCAATTCTTGGTCCATTTGGTGTGCTCTTTATGCTGTAAAATGCTAATTTCTTTCTTTAGATACACATCCAACACTTCAGAAAAACGTCCAACTTTATTTCAGCTACCTTTGTCAACCATATCCTTAAAAACGAAGCAATTTCTGTTTGACAGTTGACCCCCATTTGAAAGCATCCACCAAACCCCATGTTTGTCTACAGAACCACAACTGGAACAGTTTACTAGTGCTTTCTCCTCCACTACAGGAAAACTCACAGAGAAGCAGAGCAAGCAATCAAGTAGCAATAGCTTACTCAGTTGTAAAGTCCAATCTAAGTATCAAAGGCAACAGCTGCTTTCTCCAGTACTTTGCAAGGAGAGAAGCAGAAAAGCAGACAAAAGCATTCATCAGTGTAGGGCACTCAGAGCAGAGAATATGCTGCTCCCAAGAGATAAACATCATTCAGCTCTACAGAAGCACAGGCATTAACTGGTAATTGCTTTGAGAACACTAAAAGCTGAAAGGTAAATAGAGTCCTCACATTTCCCTAATGTTGGTCAAATAATGCTCTGTTCATTTATCCAGCAAATCCAGCTCTTAGTTTAAGTCATAACAATCTATAAACAGACTGTGCCTCTGCCACAGATTTCTACAGCTTTAGCTCTGAAGAATAGCCTGAACAGACAAACTGGAACTGCTACAGACAGAAATGAGTTGCTGTGAGTCGAGACTACCAGTGCCACTCAATTAGTCAACCTAGGCCAGATGCTTTCATTTCTGCCCCTGACTTGACAATCAAAAGGCTTAAACAAATTGCACATCTTCCAACTTGTCTGCCAGTTGCCCACCAAACAGCTATAAACATTCAACAAGTCTTTTCGGTGAGTAATTGGAAGAGAATTCGCCAGCGGTCGTGCGAGCACTCTCGATGTGGATTCTCTTGTGAATATTTACTCGCACAAGTATGCAACGTGATGTTGCTTTCCCACAAATGTTCTTGCCAGCGCAATTTTTGCTCATCTGAAGTGGTTGGGGAATAAACAAAGAAGTATGGTCAAAAAATACCGGCAAAGCATATCAGTGCATTCTAGATGGAAAATATACTCACGGAGGACGAACCCAACCACGTGATGAGGAATGGCTTGGTGCCCATTCACTACATCATTTTCCCTGTGTAGGGCAAGAGGGCAAATTTGACTCACTTTCTTCTCCCCTCTCTACTTTTGCAGCCGCACACTCATTTATAAGCGGAAATAGAGGTAACCTAGTAGTAAATACCAATAAGAACACAGATGAAAACGATCACATAAATGAAGTACTTCATGCAGTTTAATCATATAGCCAGAACTCAGCATTGCCTTGGGCTCTGCGGTGATCAGAGCATGCCATAACTTCAACATGATGAAAAGAGACTGGGGATCAGTTTGCGAAGAGTATTTCAGACACTTCAGAAGTGTGGGATGTCTCAGGACACACATGGGGCTTTTCCTCCTGACATGCTACGTTTGTGATAAGAAACATCTGGGAAGACAATTGCTTTTCACAGCGTGCAACCGAAATCCACAGGGACACCGTGATCCTTTATCCAGACCTAACCACGTGCTCCTGGAGCAACTGGAAACAAAGATTCTGGTTTTGCAAGGCCTCTGTATGCCATTTGGATACAGCAGTATCCAGCCCCTGCTTCCAAAGGCTCCATCGCCTTTCCATGAGCAGAAGCATCTTTTATTTAAAAATCAGGAATGCCTACAGGAGGGGGGGCAAAATATGGAGCCTGGTCTCATGAAATCAAGATTAAAATCCAAACACAATATCTACTAGAGCATAAAGACCTTTCTGTAGCAGCATGGAATGGGCAGATAGTACCAGTAGCACAAACATGCAATGAAAGAAGTACCTGGTGCAGGTGCTCAGGAGATGAATTCACACAGGACAGAAGAAGTGTGTTGGATCAATAATCCTGCCTGGAAAGAGCAAAAAAAAAAAAATGTAATTAACACTTTTCCAAAATTTAAAATAAATACTGCCATAATTGAACAAAATAGAGATAATTTAACTTATTAAGCACGCTTATTAATTAAGAATTAGAGACCTTGGGTTTGTTTTGTTCTTTACACTGTTAACTTCCTTCTGTCCTGTAAAGGAACAGTTACTGTGTTTATAATAATAATTATTCAGCCTTCTATTATTCTCCAAAAATATTTTGTTCTGACAAATAAAACACTTGGAAGAAAAATGTGAAATAGTCTTAAAAAACCCTATGTGAAAGTTTCATGAAGAGGCTTCTTCAGCAGCTGGTTCCTTCATGTCAGTGTGAAGTCCATCAGGCAGTTTCTTGGTAGAACAAATGTTAGTGACAGCCACACATCCCATTCACTTCAGAGCTTTGCAAAACCCTCTGTGGAAGACCATAGACCATTGTTTTAATCACCCCAGTATTTAAAAAACACCCCAAACATTTAAACACCTAAAAACTTCAGGGACATGGCTTTGATTGCCATTAACAGTGCCCTCCATAAGCGTTAAGAGGCTTAACAACAAACTAGTTTCATTAGAGGAGCAAGAACAAGGATTAAATGCAATTGCTGCTAAAAGCCAAGGCAAGTTCTTATCATTCGAAAGCGACTGTCTAGTCTTGCCTCTAACATGAGCATAGACAAGAGACCACCTTGCCTGGGGAGTATCAAGTCCCTGGGCAAGAGGTAGTCCTCACTGGGACAAGGTATGCTCACCCCATCACTTACTTCTCCCTGGCACCCATGCCAGCTTATGTTGTTTTACCCACAAAAGTCTCCAAACACTTAATGCACCTCTTAAAAGTCTCAACACCCAAAGGCTCTTGTGGCTCTGAATCTTTCAGCTTTACCATTAAAAGAATAAATCTCAAGCCACTGCGGTCACAGAGAAATCCAGAACACAAGCACTGATTTTACCCAGAAGCCCAGATGTTAGAAAGCAAGCTGAAATACTCCTACATTGATTGATTTCTTATGAAACTTACGATTTTTAGCAACCGACACACGATCTCTAAGTGTGCAGGGTTGGCAGAGCTGCAAATCCTTTTGACTCACAGCATTTGTGGGGGAATCCCCAACTGGCCTTCGCTCCCCACCCACCCGGGGAGCGCTGATGCAAAAGATGGCTTTTTCCAGGTCCATAAACATGTCTGGAAGAGAGCATGCCTCCCCCTTCACCATGGCCATGGGAGATTTCTTTGTCAGCGTATCTATGGCAAAGCTGTTGCACAATAAACAACATGAAGTGTCCTGTCAAAATACAGCCAGTGTTCTGAAATCATAAAAAGAATGCTGAAAAGATAAATATTGATGGGGTTTGATGAACTGCAGCGCTGTGCTAATGAAATCAAGACTTCAGAAATGTGCTTGGACTGCCCTTCACCCAAAATGAGTAAGACTTCATTGTAAATATTGCTATTCACAGAAACAATTTATACACTGTCTCGGTGGCAGAGAGAGTACAAATGGTAGATCAAAGGCAGAGATTAGAATCTTTTCATTGAGCTGCAGTGAGAAACACTAAAGCAACCATTTCCTCCTCCTTAACGTCCCTTGGCTGGCAGTGGCAAAGTGGGTTGTTACCATCTGCACACACGCACAGATCAACACCTGAGCTGTGGCTAATCCCAGCAAGCAGAGCATTCATTTTAGTTCCATTCCCCCAGATGCTGTCCAAGATGCAGACATGGAGGAGAGCCCTTTTGGGAAGGGTAGATGACAACCACAGAGATTACGGGAATCAAGCCAAGGAAATCCTTCTGCATCCAGCAACTGGGGACCCCCCTGCTCGAATCCCCAAGATCACAATTATGTCCTTGCATTACATTTAATCTCAGGCTAAGGTTGGGGCAGCCAGCAGCATTATGGAGCTAACCCCTCTGATGCTCTGAAAGCACTCGGATTCTGCATCTCAAGAGTTACAACTGCAAAGCACATCGAGTCTTAGCTCCTTTCCAGTGAGTGCTTGCTGCAGATCCACAGACTGGTCTCTTTTGCAGACATCCTGCTTTTCCCACCCTGTAAAACGCTATTCCAGAAATTCCTTATAAACGCCTTTCACGTTGCGTTATATTCCCCCAGCAAAAAAATAAGCCAGATAAGAAATGCGTGCCTACAACCCTTAATATCAAACTTTTAACACACCTGAACTTCAAAGAGACTAAAAAGGAAAAACTGCTCATCCCAGCAAATATTTGCTACAGCCCCTACCTCCAGTGTCTCTCAGGTGTTTGATAATCAGGTTGTGTCATAAAATACATACATATTAAGGGGTTCCCTAACCATTCTTATGTGGCTGATAGAGTTCTTCTAAACCCTTCCAAAATGATCAGCAAGATTAAAAAACAACAAATCAAAACCACATATGGTAGCACGTTTTAACACAATGGTTTTAAGAGGAAATAAGAGCTCTCTGTAGACTCCACATCCTCTAAATCCATTCTGTGAACAGATAAAAGCCACATTGTAGTCAAGTCTCCACCTAAATAGCAAAAGCAAAATCTAGGTCAGCATGCTCTCATAGGAACTGATATATTAATCAGTGGCGCTTCCAAAGGGATTTTTGACTAATGCAGTGTTTTTATATAGGAACTGGCAGCCACCACCTTTCGCAACTCAATACTCTCTCGAAGGCTCAAAAGTTACACTCGAAAAGTGATTTTAAGCCGGTTGGAAAAACGAGGCTGGTTTTGCCCTTATACAAAGGGGAAAGAAAAAGAAATAAAAGATTATGCTATGCATTGGTAGCAGCAGCTCCAGCACAGGACTTCCAACAAGAAAGGTGTCCTCTCCTTGCAGGTGAAGACAAGCCGCTTGTGCAAGGTCCCACAGCAAGACCAGGACTCCAATCTCTGCTGCAAGATGCACGCATCCAAAGTTTGCGCCATAATAATTTAAAATGGGAACCAGTCACAGGAAGTTTTCTGTGGCACTTGATTTAAGCAGGACCATCTTTGCTGGCTGGAAATGAAGTTTCTCAGCCCAGTTTTTTTGGGACTGGGACTCAGGACATGGTTCCTCTTGGATGCATTGAAGGAACTTCATTTTCTCTGCCCAAACAGTCCGCACAGACATGTATTAGTTCTGACAATATTTGGTGGAAAAGAATCTGAGGTCCAGCGTGAGCCATTTGCTGTCTCCAGAGAGATGAATGGAGGCAAACTGGTGGGAGGGGGAGCCTTTTCTATCCAAAAAATAAATGTTTTGTCTCCATTCCATTCGGAAGAAGGGAAAAAAAAAAAAAGAAAAGAAAAAAAAAAAAGAAGAAAAAGCGCTTGTGCTAAAAGGTCTTGTTTTCATTCCTTTGTGGAACCAAACCACATTTTAAACCTCAATGTTTGTACAACACAGAGATCTGTTTTCTGGTCATTTATAACTTTCACTCTATCAGCAGCTCCCACTGCCAAGGCGCAGGTGACGCCACGGGGCGTCCCCAGCCCATGGGCACGACTGCAAGGGAGCCTGGAGCAGGGAAGTGTTTTACTCCCTGACCCTCCAGCCACAGTGATGAATTACCTTCTTTCCACAAGGACACAAATAGCTCTGACTAGAAAGAAAACTCCCAAACTCTTTTTTTGGCCGCTATAAAGTAAAATACCCAAATGCTGAGACCTTTCCTTTCTCCACACAGCTTCACCTTACAAACCCAGGATCCAGCTCCATCCCACCTGAGCTTTCCACCCTCCTCCCTCTCCCCCAAATCCAGCCCCAAAACCTTTTGGCTTTGCAAGATGCAGGGTTGGACCCTGGCTGAGCTCTTGCACGTACCATAGCACAACAGCTGAGAAGGGCAAGAAAATGGGGGCAAGAGAGGAAAAGGATGATGTTACTCAACTCCAGCAATTTTCCAGGAGCTGGGTGTGCAGATTTGGGTGCCAGTTCTCCTTCCCAGGCCTGGAAAAGGTCATCCTCTCATGGTGCCTGATGGCATGTGCCCTTCACCTCAGCAGTTGGATGCTGCTTAGGCAATGCCAACAACGTCCAGGGGTTTCCTTGTCTACCACTTGCTTTGTTACATGCCAAGAAGCATCGAAAATCTATCTCCTTCAGGGCATACCAATGCCCAGACCAAACAGACAGGAGCTACTGGACCCAGTTCCTGTTTCAGGGAGAAACACTCCTGAGTGTTGCTTATCTGCACAGCACTGAGGTGGGAGTGCTCACCAGAGAGAAACAAGGGAAGAATTGCAAACAACATTAGCTCAATTATGTATTTCTGATGATAGCAATTTAAGAAAAAAAATTATAATAAACCTGAAAATTTAATAATAAAACTGGTCACACTTTCTCCACAGATGCCTGGCACTGCTTAAGTTCTTACTGAAGGATACAGAGCACTGGAACAGGTTGTCCAGGGGAGTTGTGGAGTCTCCCACATTGGAGATATTCAAGGCCCGCCTGGACAAGCTCCTGTGTGATGTACTCTAGGTTACCCTGCTCCTGAAGGGGGGTTTGACTAGATAATCTCTTGAGGTCCCTTCCAACCCTTGGGATTCTGTGATTCTGTGATACAAGTGCTACTTCCTATAGCTGTGCTGTCAGCCTCAGCAGACATAGTAGGTGGCAAGCCACAACCATTTATGATTTGCTACCTTACATATGAACCAGAAAAGAGTCCTGAAGGGGTAACATCCCCCAGTCACTGTCTGTCTACCAAAACCAATGATGAAGCAGTTGCATCTAACTTCCTATTTTGTCTTTTGCAAAAGGTTTGTTTTTTCCATCTGCAACAGTTTTATTTGCAATAAAGCCAATAACATGGACATATCTCTTTCATTCTTGTGACCCACTATCTTCTCCAGAGTCTGCAGTCTCACTGTATGAGCTATTTATCTCCAAACCCAAATAAAGAACATTTTTAGGCTGTGCCATTGCATGGGAAAGATGCACTTAAGTTAACAGCTTGAATTAACAAGCCAGTAAAACTTAAGATGACCTTCTTTGTAATTTTTGGCATTAAAGTCTTCCCTTTTTCTTTACTTTTTTTGTTAGCATGGCAGAAGATGGGCAAATAGAGCACTGCTTACTGTATCAAATGTTCCATTTAATTTTTGCTCTCTAACAAATAGAAGAAAAAAACCCTCCTCGCCTAAAAAGGCTCCTCTCAGATACAGGCTTTTACTGAATGATAAACAGTATAATGATATTTTAAGTAGGCTGACCACAAAGAACCAGTATTCAAACTATCCACTGCATCTTTTGCAGCTGAAAAGGCCTTGAGGGGAGAATAAGGAAAATGGAGAAACTATTAAAATCACATTTCAACAAAATTATAGTATTTCTCAGTACAAGTCCATTAAAGAGATATACAGATACCTCCATCTCCCGTTGAGATTGTGTTCCCCTATTTATATAAAATGGGATGCTCATTTACTAGGACTGTCTTGCAATCTGATTCAACAGTAGACTGCCCACTGCCTCCACTCCCCCAACAGCTTAGACCAAGTCCCACCATGAGTGCAAAGTACCGAGATGGCAGATGTGCTGCAGACATACACTGCTCCTGCATCCCTTCAGTGCGAAGCCTGCTGAGTGCCCATGCTCCCCCATCTGCCCTTCAGGGACAGCTTGGACTTCTTGGTGAACTATCCAGCACAGCACATGGGCAATTTGATCCCAGCATGGAGAAATGGATCTCAACATCCATTTTTAGAGGCTGCCAGGACTAAACACCACACAGGATCAGACATGCTGCTCCAGCCTGGCCCTCTGATCCATCCTGTTTTCTTTCCCAACTATTAATACTGCACTTCTATTATTCACTCAAACAATCTCCACGCACTTCAAGTGTTAATAAATTCAGTTCGCAGGTACCAATGCATGATGTGTACACTCTAACACCCACTTCATAGACAAAGATAATATTAAATCCTGGATGACAGTAATGCTTCGCTCTGAACATAACATTGAATCAAATGATGAGCTTGGGACATTACCAGGACTCCTACCATTCCCTCAGAAGCATGTGTGGTACTAAAATGTTTCTGCATAAAGCCATACTTACTCGCCAAGCCTACCCACTCTCCAGCAGCTATGTCCTTGATCAGGGGTATGATTATTTTCTTTTCCTGTTTCATTTTTAGCCAGCACTGTTGTGAAGGAAACATGCACCCCGCAGATGAACTAGGATAGACTCAGCAAAATTTCCTGGTTAAAAAAATAAACACATGCACAAAACAAATCAGTGGTTCCTGTCCTCAGAAAACACCTTCAGAAGACAACTGTACTGTAGATAGCTCAAATGCACACATGGGTTGCAGCAGAATTCATGGTTCCCCTTCCATGGCTCGATGAAAGCTAGTATCACCCTATTACAGATTCCTGCAGCCTCAGTGCTGTCTAGCTGCTACCCCAAAGCCAGCACCTACCCACTGCCTGATCTTGGAAGTAAACCCTGAAGGAATAAGAAACAACCTCTGCAGGTGCTTAATGGAAAGTAGCTAATGAAATAGCTTTTGGGGGGGAAAATCTACCCAAGTGCGGATATAAGCACTTGCGGCAGAGTCTCAGGAGTGCAAGCCCAAATGCCAAGAATCCTAAATCACACTTTCAAAGCTCTTCCAATACCTAACAGGTGAAAGCAAGCCCTACAGCTGAATCACCAGAGAGGCTCTCAAAACATCCAGGCTCAGGTGCTATCTAATCCCAGAAACATTTGGGCCCTACAGACACTAAAAGCAACTTTAAGGGTTTCCAGGTATTCAGCATTCTGCTTCCAGTCAGGCAGGATGAATTTTAGTTGGGAGACCTGTGTAACTCAACCCCTATTTCCAGACCTAATCAAGTCATAATAAATACACAGTGAATCAAGACCTGAGTTTTGCATAGCTGCAGAGCCTCATGCCCTCTTGCCTAGGATTAAACATAAACATACGTAAACTGGGAGAGAAACATGGTCTATCACTTTTGGGGATTGGTGCTGTCCATCTTCCCTCCTCAAATTCCTTTTTTCTCTGGTGTTGTGGAAAGATTCACTTCAGAGCAGGAAGACTTCCCAGATTCAGGACATTCTGGTAACGAACCCATCTGAAAAGGCACGGGGCAATTCTTTTAATGAGAGTAGAAAAGGTGAAGGTATCTGTTTCACACACAGCCCAAGGGAGTTCGTTACTCAGTTGTCTATGAGGTGTTTGGTGGTGATGCTCTCAAGTGATTGCAGCTGCAGTGAGATGACACTCAGCTGGGCAGGGAAGGCAAGAGGGACTTTTAAATAAAAGTGAGGCAAACATCACAGTATCTACTCCAAAGATCATTAAATCCATGGAAGTCTTTCAGACAGCTTCCAAAGATTTTGGATGAGACCCAGAAGCTGCTTTTCATCCACAGTTCACAATGACCTTACTAGAGAGAGAGAACAAAAAGCCTTTTTGTTCCCATTTTCCAGATGTGGAGATGAAGGAACAGAGAAAGCTGATACAGAGCAGGTCACAGAAGCAGAGTTGGGCACAGGGTCACTCCAGATCCCCATAAAAGATATGGCAGGGTGGAGAGGAGGCATCAAACAAAAATCCTTCTCACAAAGAGCAGAAAGGGCTTGCACTTGTTTTCTTATTGTAACACACAAAGATGATTTTTAGGGGAAGAAAGTTGGTGCCTTCCAAGTGAGATCAGAGAAGCAGAAGGTAACACGGTGCCTACCAGAGACATCACAATTATTTAAGACTGTAGGGTGGCATTGCTCTCAGTCAAGCTTACAGGTTCACAAGGAGAGGAACAGAAGATGGTAACAGCAACATTTAGCACAATAAAAACAAGACACTTGGTGCATCCATCCATTTGAAAGCTATAAGAAACAGTAAGAAATAACATGCAGACATACCTTTTGATGATGCTGAAAAGCACAGGACCAACAGGCTTTAGGAGAAGTGGAAAGTAAAACCAAGAGCTATTTTTCTACTAGGAAATATACCTCTGAAACAAGAACAGCTTCTATATTTTGAGACTTCAGAGCCCCAGGGCTGAAAGACTGGCACCAAATATTGCTCAGAACAAGAGGGGAAAAGAACAAGATGAACTTTGCATCCGAGACAGCTATAATCTCTCCTAATTCAGAGCAGGCAGCACAATAGCATAACTAAACCGTAAGGGAAATAAACCAAACCACAGCTTATCCTCCCACCCACCCCTGTAAATCACAAACCATTGAAGTCAAATAAAGGCAATTCAGGGATACAGAAGAGAGTGACACCTCCCTAACCTGCTGAGCTCAGAGGCTGCTGCTGCTGCTGCTGCTCAGGAAGGAAAGGAGGACATTGGGCTCAGGCCAGGTCCCAGAGGAGGTGTCAGAATCTCCAAGCATCAGCCTGAGCATAGCACCTTGCAACCTAAAATCCAGGAGATAGGGAAGACCTGTGCAGCTCCCCAGGAAAGGGAGGCTCACCACTTACCCTCCACCTCTATTACTGTCCCTGGCATGGCTATTAAGTGAAAAACAAAACCCCAGCTCCAGGTAGCTCCTGCCCAAGTAAGCTCTCACGCCTGCAGGCACCTACTCATAAGAGTCATTTCAGGGCTTGCTTCTCAAGCAATGCTCCATGTCTGTGCTCCGTATGGATGGTTTCCTCCCCCATCATACCTGCTTTGCCCTGGGAAATTAAGCAACATCGGAGCAGCTCCCGGAGCCCCTTGCATGCCACACAAGCAAGGTGGTAAAGGGCTCTTACAAACACTTCTGCGAACCGTAGCTCAGTGGGGGAATGTTTTCATCACACTTGCTGCTAAAAGCTACAACAGTTCTTCATGGGATCATGTGCACTCACACACTGACCCCAGCAACAGAACAGGATGCAAGAAGTACAGAGCCATGCTTGGCTTTGCAGTGGTGGGCTAAAGGAAAGTGAGACAGAGCCAGCATCTTTGATGAACTACACCAAGCATCAGTGCCTTGAGACAGTGCAAGAAGCTGGACATCAGAGAAAGAAAAAGCTGATCCTACCCACCACCACCATTAATCTGTGTTAATCTGCCATCAAACTGGAGGCTGATTTAGGAGATGGAGAGCACAGACTTACAAGAATGTGGCAGCATCTCAACAAGAGAGTCTGCAGTTGTGAAACTGAAGGCTCGTTTTCCACTGGAAAAGGGAGAGGAAAGCTTAGGCACCAGAATGTATAGAAAGACAGGGCTGGCAGCCCTCACTGAGTTACTGTGTGTTCCATGTTACATGCGTGTCCCTAAGTCCAAGCGCTTTGAATCATGGCAACACTCAATAATTAACTCTACTAATTACTGCTTAAATTCCAGGACTTAAGATTTTAATGTATAGGGTTGCAGAGAGAACTTCAAAATGACAACAAAGTGCTTCTTAAACTAAAAAGGAACCCAACACAGAAAACCCTAGGAGGTGGTAGAGGAAAAGAACCCCAAATTTATTAGACATATGAGACCTCATAATTTTGAAACCAGCTTTGCAAGGTTGGAAACCAGGTCACAACTTACTAAAAGCAAGAGCCAGCAATACTGTGAGCATGATCAAACAACATGCAGTAGGGAATGTGAAATGTTCTGAATTACTGGATGTGGTTGTGCTAGATCCTTCACTTATTTATTTAGTTTTAATGCTAAAGGTGAGGCCAGATGCATACCCCTGTCTGTACGAAGACACCATGGAGGTGAGTCTAGGTGATTCCCTATGATCATAATCTCCATCTGCTTGCGGCCTGAATAAGCCATGCTTATCTTTAAACAAACAAGATGCTAGGTAAATAAAGCTCTGCTCCAGGGATGTACTGGCCATGCCTCAGAGGTGATCCCAGCCTTCACAGGAGATCCAGCATGCCGGCAGCATCTTCCAAGTAGCCAGGCTGTGGCGTTTGACAGCTTAAATCTTTCAGTTTTCTGGGGTTTTCTCCTCCAAAAGTGGGCTGATCAGTTGTTGAGTGACAAGAGAGCTGTATCTGAAGCATTTCACCAGCAATGGGTTGGAGCTGTAGGAGCTCAGCCATCACATCTCTGCAGTGGAAGGACAAGCTCCACTACCCACCTCCTGAACTGGTCACTCATGGAATTGCCTGGGTTTATCCCACAGATGGAGCGTAGCTTCACACAGCTCCGTCTGCAGCAATTACCATGCACATCTACTCCATGCCCCAGTGCAGACATGTTCCATGCCACGGGAAATGAGCAGTTTCAGTGCTTGTCAGTTGTAAAATCTTTTGTAATCAGCAGCTGCGAGTGCACTGCCTCCACAGCCAAAGCAGAACAGGTACATTTCTTTTCTACTTTATTCCACCTATGCTGCTGCTTCTTCTCTTGGGCTAAGTGCAAAACCAGCTGCCTGTATTCCATGTCCTAGAGACCTAAGCATCTAACAGAGCTGAACCTTGCACTCTGACAGCAGAGGATTGAAGTTACCAAACACACCATTGAGTCTGGGTTGCCTCTCAAAGCCTCTCTTTACTCCCTGGAAAACTGAAATCCAAGAGGTGCCTGGACAACCACCTCCAGCAACTTCATGGAAAACCTGCAGGCTGGAGGCAGCTGTGGAGCTTGGGGTATCCCTGCTCCTGCTGCTCCCAAGTCACTATAACTGCTCATCAAGTCAGTGAAGAGCAATGGAGCCAGGAGTCACAGTCTTGCTTAAAAGACACGTAGCCTCTATAGCTGGGTCTATTACTTTCAAACTGTCCTGTGGCCTGCCAGTCCATATAGTTATATTTAAGGAGGTACTTATACACTTGCAGGACTCCAAGAGATGGCTAGTTTGTCTTTACTTCCCTTGCAAGAAGTCTCCTTGCAATGCTTCGCTACAATCATGCACCCGTCCTGAGCTCCTGATCATGTCAGCTTATGCTCCTCCCAACACTCACATGCTCTGCTGCCCTCCATGGTTTTGTGGACATGTGGAAAACACAGCAGAGGGACCCATTTCACATAGGGAATTGCTGTTGCTGGAAGGCAGAGAGCGACAGCTCTTCCTTAGCCTTCCATTTGCAAACTAACTTATGAGACGTAGTTCCTATGGAGAAACCTTTCACCGTGCAGTAACGGTGTCGACTCTGCTTTTGGACGAGCAACAGAAGTCAGAATTGCCAAGATTCCTCATTCCCCAGCAAAATATGGCCAAGGGAAAGCCAGCTGTGACACCCCTACAAATATGCTGTATATGAATGCTGGAGGGCTGTATGGAAACTGAATAGCACACCTCTGGTATTTGCAGTGTATGCATTTTTTCCAAGACCAAAGCCTATTTTCACAGGGTTATAAATCAGCTATAATAAAAAAATTAATTCTCAGCACAAAACGCTGCCCAATAGTAAGTTTTTAAAAAGTATATTTAGAAAAACATCATAATATTGTGGGGGGTTACATTTCCACAGGTTCAGCTTCTGGAATTTTGTCATACCCCTATCTGGTCATGCAGAACAGGACTGTTCTCTGGATTTCAAACGAAATCTCATAGAAAATGGGCTCAAATTCAATAGCCTGGGTTCGACCTATAGGAAAATAGCAAAGAGAATGGCTGCCCTTGGCAGGTCACCTGTAATCATGCTGCTAAACCCTGAGGAGTCTTTACATACCACCAAGATAGGTGTACTTTGTAAGTAC